TAAAGATCTGGTAGATTCAGTAGTGGCAGGAGCCATGCTGCAGGTTGTCTCCAGTGAGGAGTGGACCCACAGGTTGTTCTCCAGACCAGTGACAGATCTGTAGGTATCAGGACATGTGTGATCTGCTGGGAATCCTCATGGGGCAGGGAGGCTGGAGACATGCCATTTCAACCCTTGGGTGTTTTGTACAGTCACTCATTGGACCACAACATTGTCTATAGAAATGGCCATTGAATTGGGGGGCTTATGCATGTGAGTGGAACTTTTCATCATAAAGAAATTTTGTCTCCTTAAGGCAATCTGAATTTCATCTGAAAGGGAGTGTCTTTGGAAGCAGAGAGGCTTGTCCCAACAACTTTCCATCTAAGGCAGATAATTGTCTTCTCTGCAGTCTGCTCTAGAGGGAAGTTCCCCAGCCATCACTCCCATCTCCAGTACAGACCACAGGGGAGATGTTTCAAAGTGGGGCACAGGAAGGGCTGCCACAATCTCTGGCCCAAACTTCCCCCTCTGCTCTTTTCACTGCAAAGGGGATACAGTTTAATGTTAGAGCAAAACAAGTATGTGCAGAAGAAGGAAAGGGAAAAGCCAGTCACATTTGTCAAACTTAAATCTGTAGGGTTGTTTTTTTAAAAACAGTTCACACTGACTGACATGTTGCCATTGGGGAACAGTTGGTGTTGAAGAGACACTTAGACAGGGATGGAGGTACTGAGCAGCAGCAGGGATGGATGCTAGGATTTCATGCCAGGTGTTGCCTGCTCAGGTGAGAAGGAGGTAGAGAGCATTGAAAAACCACATGCAATAACACAGGTTGTGCTTGAGATAAACATGTTCCCCTCTATCACCAGAACAGTTAATGCCATTTATATACATCTGAAGTAGGAAATGCTGTGTTTCAGAGCACTGCTCCTTGTTTATCTGTCAGGTGGCCGTGGCCTACTAAACCTTCCTGCCCCTTGGTACTCCCAGCATTTGTTTATATTAAAACCAGCCACAATGTGCAAGGCATTTTCTGCATGTACAAGGAAATGGTGTATCCACGAATGGGTTTGAAGTATAAAAGGACAAATAGTTCAAAATGAGCAATCTGGAATTCAGTGTAAATGCAAAACAATTTGAGACATGCAGCAGCCTCTTGTCACCATTTCTATTTGTACTATGTGATTGGGGGTGTTCGTGGGGATGAAGAGACGGAGTGGTCCTGCTCTGAAAAGTGGCAGTTTGAGGAGAAGCCTGAATGGTGCTGAGCAGGTAGAGGAGTGAAGTGGTCTAGTTGCCGAAGCAAGACCAGTGCCTTATTTTCAAGGTTTTGCTTCCCAGGGTCAGCTCTGTGTGGCTGGCTGGACTGCCTGCAGTTGCCCTATATCCATATCCAGTTTCCTTCACTTTTTTCCAAGCTTTTTCTGCTTGCCTTTTGGGATTTTGTGCCTGTAGCAATTCAGTGCACCACAGCCTCTTTTTTTCTTCCCACCTCTTTTTTTTTTTCACTTTTTTTATTGGGGTGGGAGGGGTAGAAGTAGGGTAAGAGCTGTGGCTATGAACATGCAGGTAAATAAAGCCAATTACTTAAACACATATATGGCAAATCTTACTGATTTGTAGCCCCAGATTAAGATGCAGAAGAGCATATGAGGTTGATGATTATATTTCGGGGAGAGTTAATTGACAGAAGGTGAAGGCAGACAAAGAGCTGCTGCTTACTGACTTCTTGAATCCCAATCAGGAATTATGATTAAAGACATGGTGAGACATCAGAAGCCTGATGAATTGGTGTCTTTTTTCTTTTTTGCCGTCATTCACGCTTGACTTCAACCTTTCAAGTGCAAAAGTCTCTCTTTTCCATTATTATTCATTGCCTTTTGAGTTTTTCTAATTAAAGTGTATGAAAATAATTACTGATCTGTCATACTGAGTGTGGTAGTGGGGTTGGCTGCCTTACTGTAATATGTATAAAAACCCCAGTTTCCATAATGATGTGCAACTTAGGTGTTAGATAATTTTATTCTTTTTCTACTCTGTTTTTTTTTTTTTAATTTCTCCTGATTTATTTTTTTTAATTCCAAAAGATACTAGGAAAGCGCTCTCCCTGCTGACAAAGCTGAGAGGGACAGCTTCTTCTTGCCCTCCCCCCTTGGCATCCCTGTTCATCCCCCTCCTCCAAGCCCTGCTACTGGGAATTAACTGGTGACCTTTCATGTCTCCTGACCCACCACCCACAGCCATCAGATACTCCTGCTTAGAGTAAAAGGTGGAATGAGTATGTGTACTCAGCTTCCTTCCCAGTGATTTATCAGGGTCAACTGCCCTTCCTGCAGACACCAATGGGACCTGGCACTCACCCCCATGCACCGGCTGCCCCAGTAAAGGGTGGAGCTCAGCACCCCTCCCCAGCATGGGTTGGATGGCTGCAGCCGCTCATGCACCAACATTTGTTTCTGAGGTTTTTCATGGACTGCTTTTGCTTCCATTCACTTAGAGAAGCCAAGGTCTAGTCTGTGTTTGCTTGGATTTGACATGTCCTGCACATAGGTTTACCTTCAGCTTCACCACAGATTTTCTAACCATAGAATCACAGAATAGTTAGGGTTGGAAAGGACCTTAAGATCATCTAGTTCCAACCCCCCTGCCATGGGCAGGGACACCTCACACTAAACCATATCACCCAAGGCTTCGTCCAACCTGGCCTTGAACACTGCCAGGGATGGAGCATTCACAACCTCCCTGGGCAACCTATTCCAGTGCCTCACCAATACACAGCCCAACCTGTAGCTGTGCCTGGGATTACTCTGACCCAGGTGTAGGACCTTGGACTTGGCATGGTTAAACTTCATGAGGTTGGCATCAGCCCACATCACAAGCGTGTCAAGGTCCCTCTGGATGGCATTCCTTCCCTCCAGGGTATCAACCGAACCACACAGCTTGGTGTCATTGGCAAACTTGCTGAGGGCGCGCTCAATCCCATTGTCCATGTCAGCGACGAAGATGTCAAACAAGACAGGTCCCAACACCAATCCCTGAGGGACACCACTCGTTACTGGTCTCCAGCTGGACATTGAGACATTGACCACAACTCTTTGCCTGCAGCCATCCAGCCAGTTCTTTATCCACCGAGTGGTCCATCCATCAAATTGATGTCTCTCCAATTTAGAGACAAGGATGTCGTGTGGGACAGTGTTGAATGCTTTACACAAGTCCAGGTAGATGACATCAACTGCTCTCCCCCTGTCCATCAGTTCCATAGCCCCATCATAGAAGGCCACCAAATTGGTGAGGAAGGATTTCCCCTTAGTGAAGCCATGCTGGCTGTCACCAAGCACCTTGTTGATTTTCATGTGCCTTTTAGCATGCCTTCCAGGAGAATCTGCTCCAAGATTTTGCCAGGCACAGAGGTGAGACTGACTGGTCTGTAATTCCCCGGGTCATCCATTTTCCCCTTCTTGAAAATGGGTGTTATATTTCCCTTTTTCCAGTAGTCGGGAAGTTCACCTGACTGCCATGATTTCTCAAATATGATGGCCAGCGGCTTAGCAACTTCATTTGCCAGATCCTTCAGGACCTGCGGATGGATTTCATCAGGACCCATGGACTTCTGCACGTTCAGATTTTTAAGATGGTCTCGAACCAGATCCTCTCCTACAGTGGGCCCAAGGTCTTCATTCTCATCATATCATTCTCATAATATCTCATGCAGTTCAGTCAGAGCCTTGTGGTCCTTGATTTTGCAGAAAACAAGATACATGGCGTGCAGATAACAGCCTCACTCTCTTCTGAAGCCCAAGGTTCTTAGTATCTGACAGAAGGATGGAGAGACGTGTTTTGCTAGGAAACATACACATCTAGGAATGTTTGTCCCAGCAGTCAGAAGCTGGGAGCAGAAGCACCACAAGCATTGCAACTCAGTGTTGGTTTCTGTTCCTTCAAGTACCACAGCCCTGGTGAGAGGGCAGTGATCCCTGAGCATCAGTCACGTGAGGTGTGCAGCTGCTCTGAGCTGTAGAGATGTCTTCACTTGACACAGGCATCTAACCAGTGCTGGTAGCCATGTGTCGGAATATGGCACAGTGGCGGTGATGTGGGTCTGTCTGTCCAGTTGCTGCTCTGTGAGAAGGGCTGTAGGAAGCTTTTCAGGGGGTGCAAGGTACTGGTCTCGATGTTCAGAAAGGTATGTGTTGTCCTGTGTCCAATGCCAACCATGTGCTAGTGAAGTAGTTTGTATATTCTGTGTGTGACTGGGTACACCCAAAGAGGCAGTTTTCCAGAAAAGGATGAGTGTGTGCATTTGACTCTTTAAAAGATCATCTCCAGTTGAAGCATGCAAACTCTCCAGCTCTTTAAAACTGTTGGTGTTCAAGCACTGCACTGGTTATGGTGGTGCAGGTTATGGACAAACACTTGAAGAGAGGCGAAGGGAACACGTCAGTCAGAGCAAGGAAAGGTTTACCAAAAGCTTTCTAGTTTGCAGACTATTTACTTTCTTTTTACTCTTCCCTTATTCATCCTTTCCTTTGTCACCTTTCTCCTTATTTGTACTTTTCTTTCTCATGCCCTTCCTTTTTCTGCATCAATACACTTTGAAAACACTGCTGCAATGCTCCCTAGTTCAAAATTACAGTGTATTTTATGAGGCAGGATTTAATTAGGGGACTTATGTTTTCAGCAGCTTAAGGTGGGCCTTTCAACTTACCTACCTAATCGGTTGCACAAGAAGTTTCACAGCCCATGACAAAACATTGTCAGTGATCAAAGTCTGAATTCTACATAAAGGAAAAATTTTAATAATAAGATTTTCAGGTGTGCACTTCTAATTATGTCCAGAATATAACTGTAGAAACACTTTTGACTGATTTGAGCTTTGTCTAATAAATATGAGTCTTCATTGAGCTATGAAAAGTGACACCTCTGACTTTACAATTCTGGTGTCTTTTGCCACTGAAGATGTGTAAAATATTCTCCTGTGTTTCGCTTTCCCTCACATATCCTTTCTTCTTTGTCTCCAGGTGGCAACACCTGAGGGGATGATGCCCAGCAGCATGTTTCTCCCAGCAGCCGCTCCAGAGAAAGATGAGAACACTGCTGTGGAGGAGCTGGGGAAGCAGCCTGGTGAGTGCAGGTCACTGAGATCCACAGGTGCCACCATTCCCCCAGCTTCCATCACCTGGTCAGGGGCTGTATCTGGGGACATCTCCACATGGGTGAGCTCCACGTGCCCAGTTGTCTCCCAAGAACTGAAGTCAGATGGTGCCCAGCAGGGCCATCTCCCTTCATCTGTGCCACAAACAGGCTGGTGCCCCGGGTGTCCCCATGGCAGGGCAGCTCAGAATTGAGGAGCACAGCTCACCACTGTGGCTATTCACGTGGAAGTGGTGTTGAATCCTTGCAAAAGAAAAGACCAAGTATGAGTGGTGGAAAATAGAGGTACTGGAGGGCTGAGGGGATTGTTAGAGAAATGCCAAAGGTTGCAGCTGCTGGCTGTAGACTGCTACCACTTCTGCTGTGCCTGCTCCACTGCCATCACAGCTCAAGTATGGGTGCTGGGAATACAGTTTGGGGAGCTTTGAGCTGCTGAAGTCCTTCTCCAGACCAAATCTCAGCCTTTTTCCATTGCCATGTTGCATTATGAAGGCATGGCTGTAAATCCATGGCTATTCAGTCCTGGCTTTGTTGTATGATATGAGAACACCCCAAGAACATAGTTCTGCATGGGCAGAAGAGTCTGATCTCAGCCCTGGCAGGGAAGCAATGATGGTCTTCCTTCTGTGTCCTCCTGGAAAGTCTGTAAGGAATCAGGGAATTAAGACAGACATCATTTCCTTTCAGACAAACAGCCCTGAGGCAGCTGGTGGGGCAGCACTGGCACAGCCAGGGTAGCTAATGCTGCCCTGGGCAAGGGTATCTCTTTTTTGGCCTCTACCCATATCATGCTGTCTTTTCTGGCAGGACTGTGCTCTTTGACCCTGGATAAGTGGCACTCAGTGCTTGTTCCTTCTTCTCCCATTCTCCCCCAAACATCCCCCTTTGAACTGCTGCCAGAAGGACCCAAATTTCATTCCTGTTGTTTCCAGCTTTGGTAGGACCAAGACTCTACTACATTCAGTTTGATGAACTTTCTCATTGGAAAATAGGCAGGGCTTCAAAGCAAAACAGCAGACACACAGGTGGATGAATGGCCTTCACTTAAAAGGAAGAATTAAAGGTGATAAATGCACTAAGGAAATGTGTGTGTGTGAACAATTTCCAAATATTCAAAGTGGGCAAAGTAAAGTAAATTGTGTAGGTTTATGCAATGGGCCATGATGAGGGTAATGGACTGGTATTAAAATAAATGAATAAAGATAGAGGAGTGTTAGAAATACCTATTGTCTTGCAGAGAAAAACATGGACGTATTAGGGACAAAAAAGAGGGTGTTGATCTGCCCCAGTGTGCTGGTGTAATTGTCAGATTTGCCCTAATTCTGTTTTCACAGAGATCTCTGAGGACTTGGGAAAGAGTATTCTGCTATCTGACAGCACAGAGCACAGCGGAGATCCCAAGCTGGTTCCAGCTGATCCTAGCTGTGCCAGGGAGGACTCTGGCTTCCTCTGCTGGAAGAAAGGCTGCAACCAGGTGTTCAAGAGCTCGGCAGCCCTTCAGATGCACTTCAATGAGGTTCACGCAAAGCGGCCTCAGCTGCCAGTGTCTGATCGCTGTGTCTACAAGTTCCCCTGTAACCAGTGCAGCCTGGCATTCAAAACCATTGAGAAGCTGCAGCTCCATTCCCACTACCATGCCATCCAGGCATCCACCGTGTGCTGCCTTTGCCAGTGCAGCTTCCGAACCTTCCAGGCCCTGAAGAAGCACTTGGAAACCAGCCATCTGGAGCTGAGTGAGGCTGACATTCAGCAGCTATATGGTGGTCTCTTGGTCAATGGAGACCTCCTTGTGATGGGAGATCCTTTGCTCACAGAAGACCACGCTATCATAGTCGAGGAAGATAAGGAGGAGGAGAGTGACTTGGAAGATAAGCAGAACCCAACAGGTGGTGATTCAGGGTCAGTGCAAGAGGACTCTGGCTCAGAACCAAAGAGGGCCTTACCCTTCAGAAAGAGCCCTAACTTCACTATGGAGAAATTCCTAGATCCATCTCGCCCTTACAAGTGCACAGTCTGCAAGGAGTCTTTCATGCAAAAGAACATTCTCCTGGTCCATTACAATTCGGTTTCTCACTTGCATAAACTGAAAAGAGCCCTCCAAGAGTCTGCTACTGGGCAGCCCGAACCAACCAGCAGCCCAGACAACAAGCCTTTTAAGTGTAACACCTGCAACATGGCCTACAGTCAGAGCTCAACCTTGGAGATCCACATGAGATCTGTCCTGCACCAAACCAAGGCTTGTGCTGCCAAGCTGGAAGCAGCTGGGGGCAGTGGCAGCAGTAACAGAACTGGCAACAGCAGCAGTCTCTCTTTGGGTTCATCCACGCCAAGTCCAGTGAACACTACCAACAGTAATACTTTTACAACCACCAACACAAGTAATTCGGGCACAGCTCCCATTCCCAGCCTGCTCAACCAGGTATGCAGCGACAGTGTGAGAATTCCTCCTTTAGGTAACCCTGTAAGCACTAGTATGTCCTCCCCTTCAGAGCCCAAAGAGGTAAACCAAAAGAAGCTGGCAGACATGATTGCATTCAGACAGCAGCAGCAACAGCAGCAGCAGCAGCAAGCTCAAACCTTGGCCCAGACCCAGGACCAAGTCCAGGCCCATCTGCAACAAGAACTGCAGCAGCAGGCTGCTTTCTTGCAGTCTCAGCTCTTCAACCCAGCACTTTTGCCGCACTTTCCGATGACCACTGAGACCCTTCTGCAGCTTCAGCAACAGCAGCATCTTTTGTTTCCTTTCTACATCCCTAATGCTGAGTTCCAGCTCAATACAGAAGTTAGTTTGCCTGTCACTAGTGGTGCACTGACATTGACTGTTACAGGTCCAAGTTTACTGGAGGACCTGAAGGCTCAAGTTCAGATCCCTCAGCAGAGCCATCCACAGCTCTTACAGCAGCAGCAAGGCCAGCTCTCCTTGTCACAACCTCACTCCGTCCTTATACAGCAGAGACAGAACCCTGAGAAGAAGAATAAATCCATAGTGAAAGAGAAAGAAAAAGAAACCCCACGGGAAAGGGAAAGTGCAGAGAGGGGAGACAGTAATGTAGCATCTAAAGAGTCTCTACCTGATAATTTAAAGCCCAAAGAAAAGAAAGATTTTGTACTAGGCGGTAGTTTGGAGCCCTCCTTAATGCCGCTGCATATTGCCTCTGATGCAAGAGGGAATGCCACAAAAGCCTTGCTGGAAAACTTCGGCTTTGAGCTTGTCATTCAGTATAACGAGAACAAGCAGAAGGTGCAGAAGAAAAACGGGAAGACAGATCAAGGTGAGAACTTCGAAAAGCTTGAGTGTGATACGTGCGGCAAGTTTTTTTCAAACATCCTCATCCTGAAGAGCCACCAAGAGCATGTTCACCAACATTACTTTCCCTTTAAGCAGTTAGAGAAATTTGCCAAACAATACAGAGAACACTATGACAAACTGTACCCGCCTCAGACCCCAGAGCCTCCGCCACCACCTCCGCTCCCTCCAGCACCTCCTCAGCCAGCTTCTACTCCTACCATCCCTCCTTCTGCCCCACCAATTGCCTCTCCTATGATTGCACGAGCCCAGCCGTCTGTGCCACTCACCCAGTTCTCCATGTCAGTGGAGCTCCCCATCTTTTCACCACCGATGATGCAAACCATGCCACTACAGACGTTACCTGCACAGCTGCCACCCCAGCTGGGTCCTGTAGACCCTCTGCCTGCCGATTTGGCCCAATTGTACCAGCATCAGCTCAACTCTAGCCGTCTTCAGCAGCAGCAGAACAAGAGGACATGGATCACCGATGACCAACTCAGAGTCCTTCGGCAGTATTTCGATATTAACAATTCCCCAAGTGAGGAACAGATCAAAGAGATGGTGGACAAATCTGGATTGCCCCAGAAAGTGATCAAGCACTGGTTCAGGAACACTCTTTTCAAAGAACGCCAGCACAACAAGGATTCCCCATACAACTTCAGTAATCCTCCCATTACCAGCCTGGAAGAACTGAAGATAGACTCATGGCCTCCTTCTCCAGAACCTCAAAAGCAGGAGTACTGGGGAAGCAAACGGTCCTCCCGGACACGCTTTACTGACTACCAACTGAGAGTTCTACAGGACTTCTTTGATGCCAATGCTTATCCAAAGGATGATGAACTTGAGCAGCTTTCTAACTTGCTGAACCTCCCAACACGTGTTATAGTGGTGTGGTTCCAGAATGCCCGTCAAAAGGCTAGGAAAAACTATGAGAATCAGGGAGAAGGCAAAGACGGGGAACGACGGGAGCTTACAAATGACAAGTATATTAGAACAAGCAAATTGAACTACCAATGCAAAAAGTGCTGTCTAGTCTTTCAGTGCATTTTTGATCTCATTAAACACCAGAAAAAGCTTTGTTACAAAGATGAGGATGAGGATGGACAGGATGATAGCCAGAATGAAGACTCTATGGATGCAGTGGAGCTTTTGACTCCAACCAGTTCCTCCTGCAGCACGCCAATGCCCTCACAAGCTTACAACACACCTACATCTACAGTCGATGCAACCTCCTCAGCTTGTCTGCATCTCACAGCAGAGGCAGATGATTCCTCCACCTATAGTTCTAAAGTAGAACCTACAGAAGAGAAACCAAAGCAATCTGAACCTCCGAGTACACAGCAAAACCAAACTCAAGAGAAGCAAGTGCAACCAAAGCAAGAGTCTCAGCAGCAACAAGACCAAGGAGAACAAAAGACAAGTTCAGCACACCAAAAGATTTCACAGTTATCCTCCCCCTCTTCATTGCAAAAGCCACCTCCCCGTCCTCAACTCCCTCAGTGCTCCTTGTCACAGTCAATTCCAAGTCCATCTCAGCTCTCACATATCTCCCTCAAACCCATTCACACGTCCACCCCTCAACAGCTGGCAAACATACCTCCTCAGCTAATCCCATACCAGTGTGACCAGTGTAAGCTGGCATTTCCCTCCTTTGAGCATTGGCAGGAGCATCAGCAGCTTCATTTTCTGAGTGCACAGAACCAGTTTGTCCACCCTCCATTCCTGGACAGAACGCTGGATATGCCACTCAGGCTTTTTGATCCCAGTAATCCACTACTTGCAAGCCAGCTGCTATCTGGGACATTACCACAGGTTCCAGCAAGTTCAGCCACTTCACCATCAACTCCAGCATCCGCAATGAACACACTGAAGAGAAAGCTGGAGGAAAAGGCTAGTGCAAGCCCTGGAGAAAAAGACAGTGGGACTGGGGGAGAAGAACCACAAAGGGATAAACGTCTAAGGACTACCATTACCTCAGAGCAGCTGGAAATTCTTTATCAGAAATACTTGCTTGACTCCAACCCAACGCGGAAAATGTTGGATCACATTGCACATGAAGTGGGCTTGAAGAAACGCGTGGTGCAAGTTTGGTTTCAGAACACCCGTGCACGGGAAAGGAAGGGGCATTTCAGAGCTGTAGGGGCTGCCCAAGCCCATAGACGGTGTCCCTTCTGCCGAGCTCTCTTTAAAGCAAAGACAGCTCTGGAAGCTCATATCCGATCCTGTCACTGGCATGAGGCTGAGAGAGCAGGATACAACTTGACATTGTCTGCTATGCTTTTAGATTGTGATGGGGGACTGCAAATGAAGGGGGACATCTTCGATGGAGCAAGCTTTTCCCACATGCCACCAACAAGCAGTGATGGACATAGTGTTCTTCTCTCCCCAGTGAACAAGAGCATGGAGCTGTCACCTCAAGCACTGCTGAGTCCGTCCTCCATTAAGGTGGAAGGGATAGAAGACTTTGAGAATTCCTCCATGTCCTCAGTCAATCTGAGCTTTGACCAAACAAAACCGGACAATGATGACTGCTCCTCTGTCAACACTGCAATCACAGACACTACAACAGGAGATGAAGGGAATGCAGACAACAATAGTGCTACAGGGATTGCAACCGAAACCAAATCAACATCGAGACCCAGTGAGGGTCTTGCAAAAACTACCATGATAGCAATGTCTGAATATGAAGATCGTCTGTATTCTGGCCTGGTCAGCCCAGCTCCTAGCTTTTACAGCAAAGAGTATGATAATGAAGGTAATGTGGACTATAGTGAAACATCCAGCCTTGCAGATCCCTGTTCACTCAGCCCTGGTGCAAGTGGTTCAGCCAGCAAGTCTGGAGAGAATGGGGATCGTCCCGGACAGAAACGCTTTCGCACTCAGATGACTAATCTCCAGCTAAAAGTTCTTAAGTCATGCTTTAATGACTACAGGACACCCACCATGCTGGAGTGTGAGGTCCTGGGCAATGACATTGGACTGCCAAAGAGAGTTGTTCAGGTCTGGTTCCAGAATGCTAGGGCAAAGGAGAAGAAGTCCAAACTCAGCATGGCCAAGCATTTTGTTATAAACCAAACAAGTTATGAGGGACCCAAAACAGAGTGCACTTTGTGTGGCATCAAGTACAGTGCTAGACTATCTGTACGTGACCATGTCTTCTCTCAACAGCATATCTCTAAAGTTAAAGAAACCCTTGAAAGCCAGTTGGATAAGGAAAAGGAGTATTTTGACCCAGCTACTGTACGTCAGTTGATGGCTCAGCAGGAGCTGGACCAAATCAAAAAAGCCAATGATATTCTTGGTCTGGCAGCTCAACAGCAAGGCATGTTTGATAACACACCTCTGCAAGCTCTTAACCTTCCTGTTGCATACCCAGCACTACAGGGCATCCCTCCAGTCTTACTTCCAGGCCTCAACAGACCATCCTTACCAGGCTTAAGTACATCCAACACAGGTAGGTATGTATATTATCACACTGCTCAGACACACAGCTTAACTTGACGCATCTTTAGCACAAGCAGATGTTCCCTTGAGGAATGACTGATAACAGGATACCTGGCCCTTTAGTGGAGCATGTTTACTTGACATCAAATGAGCAGTAGGTATTTTATCTTTAATTCCTGAATGCTTTCTAGCCAAGTCTGAAATACAGCAAGATGTAGACATTTTGTGTATATCTGTTTCCTTAGCATATACTGAAAGTTCTGAAGCACTTTTGAAGAAATGAAGAATAAAGGATTTATCAAATGGAACAGTAAAAGGAGTAATGTGCTGAATGCATTGTTCATTATACCTTTCCTTTTGCTATTAAATTCAATTTATGTGGTGCCATCCCAAATTTTCACTAATTGTGAACTGTTTCTAGGGAAAAGTGTGACGTGCCTGGTGGCACTGGTGACAGACTCCTGGAGCATCTTCATGTAACAATATAACATCCCTATAGTGACCTCCAGAACTAATCCCAGTGCAGCTGTGGGTTGGTTTTTGAGTAATGTCTAGGTAAAACCTGAAAGTACCTTCTCAACAAACAGCAGTGGGATAAATCTACTTTGGATTTTAGTACCATTTTTCTCAACAATACTACATATTTTTATGAAATTTGGTACAGTCCTTTGGGTGGACTAATACCAGATATTGGACTTTGTTTTTTTGAGGATGTGCCTTTTCCTTGTACCTGGTGGATGGGTGAAGGGTATAAGGTCTGCAAACACTGGCAGTGGAAGATACTACTCAGTAGACTAGCAGTGGCCTAAAAAACTTGATCCAAGGGCTTTGTTTCACTCCTGCTACATCTGTGGTATCCCAGGGACATGCCTGTGTCTGAATTCCCACTCATAACAGAGTAATCGATGTTCTGAGGCTTGCTTTCACTTGGAAGACTTCTCTCTTTACTTCAAGTTAACTTTCACCAGGGCTGCTCTGCAGTTACAGAGATATCCCAAGAACTGATTCCAGTGTCTTGTCTCCGCAACAGGCTGATACTGTCTTGGGCTGGAAAGCCCATGGCACTGGTACAGTTACACTAGATGACACTGTGCATCCTTGTTTTCTGCTCTGCAGCAGTACAGGTCTGCCACTATTAAACAGTGTCCAGAAATGATAACTTTCTCTTATTGTACTGAACTGATTGGCTAATGATGAAATATCTTCTGTTGACAAATGAAGAAGAGTTAAATCTCACTGTATTTTGGGGGCTTTTGGCCTTTCCAAAGATGAAGAACTCTCTTGAAGTTAAGGTCCTTTTTTCCACAAGAGCAGCAGTGGGGATTACTTTGTGGCATGGTTGCTGTTGTCCATGTCAGAAGGACCTGTCAGAGAGCAGAAAACATCACAGTGAGTTTTCCTGGTCTCTGGAAAAGCTTTCTGCTGGGAGTTAGGGCCTCTGTGATGCTTTTCACATAGTTACAGAACTCTTCCCATGACCCCCAAAGCAAAAGTAAAATTATTTTTGACTGTAGTTGAGGGATATGTCATTGTAATTAAACCATTTTTAAAAAACAGTTGCTGTTAGAAATTCTTCTGTTCAGGGCTGCTGCCTATTTCTGCTCTTTGAGTCTAGTCTTAGCTACATGCCCCAAGGGCATCTTTCAGTGCCAGGACTTCTTCATGCAATACTTCTGTTCTTGCCGAATATCTTGTTTCAGAGGCCAGAACTAGGCCAAGAGAATCTCTTTGGCAAATTGCACTGTCAGCCTATCGCAGACAGCTCTGTGCTGTTTACTTAGTACCCCAAATTTGTAACAAGATCTAAAATTACTTTTTTGCACTTCAATTTATATTGTTGCTTTTATTTTTCTCCAAAGACCAGTATGTGTCCTGGGGAGATGGGGTTACGTACTATGAACGTTAAAAGCAATCAGTAACTGCCTATATAGGACTAAGCTATTTAAAAAGTCAAACAGACTGTTTGTGGCCTTCAGATAAAGCTCCAAAGGTCAGGCCATCTCGGCTCAAAGCCTGTCGAAGCAGATAAGGCTGTGCATCCAGGAATGTTATGAATTAGCTGCTGCTCCCACACTTGAACCTCTCTGGGAGCATTCAGCTAGGGAACATAAGTTTCAATGGCATCTATCCATAATATGCCCTTATCTGAAATCTGTAAGGCTGCTGTGTGGAGGCTCACTTCATACCTTCACAAATCACCATTGTCTTGATACTTCATCAGGAGCAGATGAAGGTTTCTGAAGGGCTTTGCATCAGCCATGGCTGAACTCTTGGCTCTTGGTCACCCTCCTCCCAGCCCTCCTCCCAGCCCTTCTCCAGCTCCTTCACCAGGCTGACCCCTGAAGACTACAGTGCCCTTCTCTCCTGCCCTTGCTTGGGAGGGCAGCGCTGGGTGGAGTGAATGCAGCACTGTAGACAAATGAGCTTTTCATACCCAGGTGTAGTGCAGCCAGGCTTTGGAGAGTGCTTTTCTCCCCTTAGCTTCTAGCTACTACTTGGAGCATGATGCTGCAAGAAAACGGTTCCTGTGCTGTATGTTGAGAAGTTTGGATTCCTTCTGGGCTACACCAGCTTTACAGGGCATGGTTAAGAGACAGGCTCTTGTGATTCAACTGTGCAGGTAGCAGTCTAGGGCTCAGTGTCCAGAAACCTGAGGACCATGTGTGTCTTGGCACAGAATTTACTTCTTGTGCTACACTCAACAGCCTCTGCCCTGACTCCTGATGTCTACTTTGGCCAGGGACCTGGGTATCAGGCTCCCTGCTAGTGGCAGGGATAAGGTGATGGTTGAGGATGCCTACACTTGTTCTTCAGGATCGATTATGACAATTTATTAATCCTTACCAGGATAAATGGGGCAGATGCAACTTGGAGCCATTGGCCCCAGCCCCTACCTGTGTTTGAGTCCCTTTACAAGGCAAAGGAACCCCGTAGCAGATGAATTTCCCTGCCAGGAATCACTGCCTGCCCTGTTAACAGGATTGACCTGCTGGCATGCTTCCCTTTCTATTCCTGCTGTTGAGAAGATGAGCGGACTTCACATTGCACCATTAATCCATCTCCTTTGTGAGGAAGCATCATGACCCTTGTAGTTCCACCCAAAACATGATGTTCATGACCTGGGGGATGTCTGAATACCGGTTAGTGCAGATGTAGGAAAAGTGCCTGTCCCTGACATCAGCTGTTAATTATTCAGGAATTTCAGAGGGGTCAGTAAATCAACAGCTCTGCTGAGCATCCCATGCAGGTGGTGGGTGTCCCTGGCAGAGACACTGCATTTGGTGCTGCTGGTGATGGGGGCTGTTGAGGCACATCCCCTTGGCACAGGGCCGCAGGGAGAGGAGTGGTTGTCCCAGAGAGAGTGGTGGACAGGCTTTCTGATCTGCACTGCTGCAGCACAGGAGGTCCAGCCGGTCGCTGCCCTTGCACAGAGGAGACGGAGGTACAGGTTGGCTGTGGGGAGACCTGGAGTCACCCCGCCTTGTGCTTTCTGCCTGTCCTCACCTCTCTCTCTTCCTTCTTGCAGCTTTAACTTCTCCCAAACCCAACCTGATGGGCCTACCCAGCACAAATGTCCCTTCTCCCAGCATCCCCACCTCTGCATTACCAAATAAGCAGCCCCCAGCCGTGCTGAGCTCATCCACCCCGGCACAAGCCACAGCAATCGTGGCCTCGCAGCAGCCACTGGCAACAACCCTGCAGCAGCAGCAGCCACCCCCGCCACAGTGCAAGGAGGAGAGCGAGAAGGCAAAAGAGAAGGAGAAAGCACCCAAGGGGAGGGGGGACCTCCTTCCAGGGCCCAAGAAGGAGAAGGGGGAGGCACCAGCGGGTGCCCTCTCAGCCCCACTACCTGCCATGGAGTACACCATGGAGCCCACCCAGCTCCAGGCACTGCAAGCTGCCCTGAATTCAGACCCCACCACCTTGCTGACAAGCCAGTTCCTTCCCTACTTTGTCCCCAGCTTTTCTTCTTACTATGCCCCACAGATCTCTGGTGCCCTGCAGAGCGGGTACCTGCAGCCCATGTACGGGATGGAGGGGCTCTTCCTCTACAGCCCCGTGCTGTCGCAGGCACTGCTGGGGCTGTCCCCCAGCTCCCTGCTGCAGCAGTACCAGCAATACCAGCAGAGCCTGCAGGAGGCATTGCAGCAGCAGCGGCAGGTGCAGAAAGCACATTATCCCAAAGGAAGCCGAACCCTGGTCCCCGAGGGGGCCGCCACCCTGGACAAAGACCCTGCCAAAGAACCCCCCAAGCATGAAGAGCAGAAGAACACACCCTGCGAGGTGTCCCCCCTCCTGCTCAACCCCCAAGAAGAGCCCGAAGCAGAAGGCAAGGGCACAGACTCCCTCAGCGACCCCTTCATCGTACCAAAGGTGCGGTACAAGATGGTCTGCCGCAAGTGCCAGGTGGGCTTCAGCGACCAGGAGGCTGCCAGCGACCACCTGAAGTCTCTCTGCTTCTTCGGCCAGTCCATGGCATACCTGCAAGAGATGGTGCTTCACGTGCCCACCGGCAGCAGCCAGGGCAACGGCTTGCACCAGTGTGTGGCGTGCGAGAGCACGGTGTGTGAGGACGAAGGCCTCAGTCAGCATCTCGAGTCAGCCCCGCACAAACACCGAACAATCACAAGAGCAGCAAGAAACGCCAAAGAGCACCCCAGTCTATTACCTCACTTTGCCTGCCCCCCCGACCCCAGCACCGCATCTACCTCGCAGTCGGCCGCTCACTCAAATGACAGCCCCCTGCCCCCCCGCCCCCCCCAGCTTCCCCCCACGCCGCCAGAAAGCCCTGGCCCCCAGCAGCACCCCGTGCCCCACCAGGGAAGCCTCTGCTGCCGTCTTTCCTTCCTCTCTCCTCATCTTCAACGGTTACCTCAAGTTCATGCAGAACCTCAGGGGTTCAGCCCTCTATGCCAACAGATGACTATTTGGAGGAGTCTGAAGCAGATCTTAGCCAAAAGTCAGATGGACTGGCGAGCCCAGCAGAGGGGCCCCGGGACCCCGGATGCCCTAAGGACAGTGGTCTAGCTAGCATAGGAATGGACACCTTCAGATTGTAAGCTTTGAAGGTGAACAATGAAAATTAATTTAAATAAAAAAATTAATAACAAACTAATTTTAAAAATATACTAACTGCAATTCCAAAGCTTCTAACCAAAAATAGAAACAAGAAAAAGCGTGGGTTGTTTTCCCATATAACAATGCTGGTGGGTTTTACTTTTTTTTTTTCCCCTTTCCTTTTAATAAAATAAGACTTGAAAAATAAAATCTGTTACATTTGTCCTTTCAAAGGTACTCTTGGTTTGGGAGACGAAAGCCCATGCTGCTTCCTCACTGTCTTTGGAGCTTGAGCCTCTTGTATATTGCCCCTTTTCAACCACCCCCATGTCGATAGCACAACAGAGGCCAGCACACACTGTATGGGAAAGCAGCCCACCTGTTAGAGTTTTAAATGTTTTGCTATCTTAGCATTCAGATACCAATGGCTTGCTAAAAGAAAAAATAAATGCAATGTCTTTTTATTCTCAGGTCAATTGCTCACACTTTGTTCTATTTTTAGAATCATTGTTTTAGATATATATATATATTTCTTTCATTTGTTTTGGGTTTTTTTTGCTTCGTTTTAGTTCCAGAAAAGGATTTTTTTCTTTTTTTTCTTTTTTTCGTTGATTTAAAATGGGCATAAAGTATTCAAGAGAAAAACAATGCTTTAGCTTTTTGGGGATTTTAAGGGTAGCTTTTCTGCTGAAGCCGATTTCAAGGGGAAAAGTTAAGCAGTCCCACTTTTCAGAAAAAGAAAAAAAAATCAAAACCCTTGCAAAGAGTGTTGAGGACTCAGAGCTTAAAAAATGTTTTAAAACAACTGATTTTCTGTATTTATGATAGATATGACCATTTTTGGTGTTGAGTAGATTGTTGCATTTAAAATTAACTGAAACAGTATGGTAGATTTTTAAAAAATACACTTTTGTGTACATTTAGCTTTTATATGGTCCGGCTGACGGCTTCTCATTTGATGTTTTCTTGTTCATTCCTAGCCAGGTAGATTGCAATCCATTGATTCGCCTAAGCTTTTCTCCCCTTTGTACCTTTACTTCCCGTTCTTCCATCCTGTAATCTTTCACTTCTGGTTGCTACCTTCGTTTCTTAGAGGGTGGTCGCATAATTATTTTATAAAAACTAAAGAAAGAAGTTCAAAGGGTTTTGGGGGGTCAGTAGGATCCCTTGCAGAATATTTTTTGTTGAGGGTTTGAAACTTTTTAAGACGCATACATACGATTTGCCTATGTGTATTACCCTTCTGCACTTTTTCGTCTTTTCCATTTTTCCTTTTTTTTCTTCTTCCCTTCTTCTTTTCCTCATTTTGTAAATGCTTCAAAGACTCTGTTCCTAAACTATAAGCATTTGTTTCTGTTTGTGTAATTAGGCTGCACTCTGTTCCTTCTTTTAAAAGAAGGTTTTGTTACTTTTTCTTTTCTCTAAAGAAAATTCATGCTTTAAATATGTCCAGAGACATACCCTTTCACCACTGGTGCAGAATGAGCAAAAAGGATTCTTTTTACTTGAGAATTTGTTTTGGATTTAAACAAAGAAGTCTAAGTTTAAATAAAGAATAAAAAAAAAAAAAAAGTACCCAGGTTGTTATCTGTGCTTCGTCTGCAAGCAGAGATACAACTCTTAGCAAAAGCCCAGCACACCAAAAGACAGGTTTCTCTTTCCAGGTTCTCACTAGTGGTGGGCACTGATGTCCCGTTCCGTGCCCCACTTGTGGAACGTGCAGACACACATCTTGTACGGTCTGGACTTTGAAAGGAAAACTTTGTGCTGCTAAAATGTAGGTTTTGGAGACAAATAGATGCTGTTTCACTTGTGTAGCCAAATGTTAACAGAAACAATTTCCTTTCCCTACCCCCACACCATCCCCCATTTCCTCTGCTCTGAAAGTGCAAGAGCCTTCTCCCCATCATCTTCATCCTCCTCCTGCTTCAAAAAGGAACTTTGAAGACTGTGAACACAGGTTCCTCCTGCCTCCTCCAGCATCTCCTTCCCATGCTGACGCCACTCGTCGACCCTGCAGGAGACTGGAGCATTCAAGAGACGAACGTAAGGTTCATTTTCTAGTGGGACACTTTTATTTTTATGGAGTTTTGGTTTTAGTTTGATGAACAACTAGATCCTGGACTGTTGTACATATTTTTTACTAGGCTAATGCACAGTTCAAATTCCTTTTTTAATTGTTTTTTAAGTAGACGACACTAAAGAGAGTACCATCGAATATTCCTACCAGTACCCAATTGTAGCATAAGGTGTCAAAAATGGAAACAAACGCAAAAAGAATTTACTGTTTTAACAAACTATTTTATTTTAACAAAAGTACTTGTATTTCTCCCCATGTTTGAGATGAACATATTTTAAATTCTGAAGTTGTACAGTTTATGCTTTCCATTATTTTGTTTGCAATTCTATGATTTTTTTTTTGCCATTTAACTGTTGTATGTTACTCTATCATATTGAATTTTGTTTGCTTGCTTGTTTTTGATTCTCTGTGTGATACAAGTTAACAATTTAACGCTAGCTTTATCTGTCCAATTCTGCAAGGTCTCTTTTGGAAATCCTTTTGTCTCATTTTGCTTCGGGTTTTTTTTAATTATATTGTTTGGTCATAATGCAATTTCTTCTCTCCTTCTTCCTCCTCCTCCTTCCCACCCACCAAAAGGTTTTATAAATTCATTTCCTTATATTATTTCTAACCATTTCTAGTGACATTCAGTGTGAGGTTGGCTCCTCCTCTTGCAGCCCCTGGGACCTGCACCCCAGTCCCACTGGCCGCCCTGGCAGGGACACCTCCCCTCCCCCAGCCAGGACTTCCCCGCCCCTGGCCCTGTGCCCCACTGCCTGCCTAGCCACCCCACCTTGGGAGCCTCTGTGCTGCCCCGGAGCCCATGCATGGCCTTTCCAACGTATGTCGGAGCAGGGCTGGAAAGGGCATGAGGAAAAGATTCTAAACTTAACATTGAACAAGTTTCTGGTTTATTTTTAATAAAAAGCTTTTTAAGTGGTGAAGATGGCCAAAGTTTCATACAATTGAGAATCACAGAGGTGTAGGGTGTGTTGGGGCTGCCCATGCCCGGGGTGGGCACTGACATGAGCTGGCACACACACTCTTCGTGGAAATATATTTTGCTTTAAAAAGAAAACCTAGGCTTTTAAATAGAAGCAGAAATTGTTGGATGATTTGGTTGGTTGCTTGGTTTTTTGACTCTGAGATACTGCCCACTGTGAAACACAAAACTTTTACTATTTGTTTCACTTTTATTTTGGGGGGTGGGTGAGGTTGGGTAGAACAGAAAGTGTAAATGAGGTGAAGAGGGATACGAACAGACTTTGCAATGTACAAAAAATAGAGCAAGTGAAGCCAAAAATTGTGTTCTTGGTGTTTCTCTATAATGTTGTCTTGTTAGCTTTTTTTTGTTATTGTAACAGTGCTGATCTTGAACTGTACCAAAATACATGGAGACAAACAGAAAACCACATGGGGCTTTCAAAACTTTACAGAATTTGTCACAAGAGACTTTGTTGTCATAGTTGACTGTAGATGGTAATTGAATATACTCCTTTGGAAATATTTCATCACATATGTTTCCTGCTCATTGTGATACATTAAAAACAAAAATGAGCAAAAGCTCTTGTCTCCAATGTCCACTCTCATGTGGTCCAGGGTCTGTGTTGGGGTGGGTGTGTGCCATGCTGTGCCACTCATATTGGCTCAGATAGGATCCATTCACCATGCATCCGCCTGAGCTCCTGCATCCTGCAGTCCTCATGCACCCACCAGCACATGCCAGCACACACATGTCCACACGCAGGTGTCCGTGTGCCGCCAGCATGAGGGCACCTGGACTAACACTGTGAATTGATACTGAAGTGGAAGGAATGAGCCAAATTGTGCAATTCAGTCACAGCTCTGGGATGCATTGTGTATGAAAAAGACATTACAAGTGCATTTAATTTTACTAAATGATTGCATGAGAATTCTGGGCATGCTGTTGTAATGGTTAAAGGGGAAGCATGATGCCTTAATGGGTTGAGGTCATCTGGAAGCCTGTAAGCCAGAAGTGAACTAAAATCACCATCTGTTTTCTTCTACTAATCAAACCAAAAGGAGACAAAAGTAAGAAAGGTAAGTAAGTGGCTGACTCACTGCTCTTCCCTTTGCTTCCAGTGCCTCTTGAGCACAGAGGAAAACTTGATGAAGTGCTGAGTGTTAATAAATAATTTAATAAACAACAGAGCAGCCCAGCATTGCAGATGGGATGGGCATTCTGCTCAATCTGGGCAGCTTTGGCTGTGCTGCTGCCTCCCCAACAGCAAGGGGCTTCCTCCCCCTCCCCAGGGAGCAGAGGTCTGAGCTCCACAGTGTCATCCATCTGGAGTGGGAGTCCCAGGGAGGAAAACTTGCAGCTGGTGAGGATGTGGCAGTATCCTTTAATTAATTGGGTCAGGACATTCACTTGCGAGCTCGTAAGTTCAATAACCAGGTTGCTGATGCACCTTCACAAGAAAAGAATATAAAAAAAGAAAAAACAACACTCAGATGAATTCAGGCTCAAAAGAAACATGAATTTCTGAAATAAAGCGGGTCAAGATTGCCAAGACCCCAGTGACTCCTGGTGCTGCAGAGTACCCAAAGCAAGGCAGCCAGGCCCTGGCCCCAAGCGCACAGCCCTGAAAGAGGAGACCCCCTGCTCCTGGAGATAGAAGCGATTGCACCCGACTGGGTGCTGCAGCTCAGCATGCCAAAATTGTCCCCATGCTGGGCTGCCAGGTCCTGTTCCAGGCTCATGTGTTGCTCTCCTGGCATGAGCCTGGACAGGTAGGCTCTGGGTTGCCTCTGAGCTATTTGGGTTTTTTTAATGGGAAAAATCCATTCTGCATTTCCTGCAAGCAGACAAGACTGCGAAAGTAATGGGATCACCAGCACAACCCTTCTACCGGCTTTTGCACTGTGCCACATTAATGACTTCACTGTTGTTCACAGACATGCCATTTTGTAAGTTTA